TATATATATATATATATATATATATATATATATATTAAAAAAAAAAGTTAGGCTAAGGTAGAGGCGGAAGCAAAGGATTAGTTTTAAATATTAAATTTAATCTTATATGTATTAATAATTATACTAATATAAAGTAAAATAAATTAATTTTTATTTTTTGGGCCAGTGGGTGCCCGTGCCCCTAAAGCCCCCACTGTAGATCTGTCCATCGTAACCGGACTTTCCCATGACCATTGTTACACTACCGCCTGGCCACCGACCACTATCGTACATCTGCATGACCTTCGAAAGACAACTGCCCAGCCATTGACCACACCAGACTTGTTTCCGACAATCGTCGGACCACTGCCCGGCCACCGCCTACTGCCATACTACCACCAGCCGTTGACCACCGTCGGACTTTCACCCAACCATCGTTAGATCACTGCCCTACTACCAATTGCTGGGACCCCCACCACCTGACCACCGTCCGATCACAGCCTGTCCAACCTAACATTCACCCAAATGCCATCTAACCTCTGCCCGATCATCGTCTAACTCTTTAAACTTTTATAATTCAACCACCTATAAGTCAAGGGATGGGACAACCTCTGTGATTCACTCAAATTTAGTGAAATATTTTTACCTGGGCAAGACCCTGTGATTTTTCCCTCTTTTGATTTTCCGCGTAAAAAAGATATGGAGTTTTACTGCACTCTCTCTCATAAATCACCTATTTGTGTGCTATATATTTGTGCATTACCAAGGTAAAAGTTTTACTCAATTACCACTATGAATATTCTAGCCTGCAATAACAACCATGAGCATGATCCTTATTAACAATGGTAAACATCAATATTAGTTGTAATAGCAAGTATTGTTGATGATGGTGATGATCGGACGTGTGCCCTAGCTCCGCCAACGCCTCCCGCTTCTTATCCGCCCCCTTGACCTGTTTCCAGATTTGTTACAGAAATGGCAATCGAAGAAGATGACGAGATCAACACAAATATCCTATTCACACTTCAGGAAGGTCTCGATACTCACCAAGAAGAAGAACAACAGAAACAATCACTCATCGGAGACGCCTCTATCTCACCGCCCCCGCCTTTGGATCATCGCCACCACCTGAACTCCATCAACGCCATGATCGTCACCCGTCAGCTCCCTTCCCAAGGCCTCTCCTTCCAACTCTGGCCAGCCGCTTTCTCCTTCCTCTCCCTAATAGACCGCGACCCCTCCCCTCTTCTCCTCCCCTCCTCCTCCTCTCTCCGCATCCTCGAGCTTGGCTCCGGCACTGGCCTCGTTGGAATCGCCGCCGCCGCCATCTTGGGCGCCCACGTAACCCTAACCGACCTTCCTCATGTCCTCCCCAATCTCCATTTTAACGCGATTGCGAACGCCGAGGTTGTAGCCGCACGCGGCGGATCCCTCGCCGTGCGTCAGCTCCGGTGGGGCGTCGTCGAAGATATCATTGATATGGAATCGGCGCCGGTTTTTGATGCAATAATCGCGTCGGATGTGGTGTATTATGACTATCTTATTGAGCCGCTACTGGAGACGATTAGGGTTTTTGTGAAGGGGGAGGTGGGGTTTTTTATGGCGCATCTGAGGAGATGGAAGAAGAGAGATGCGGTGTTCTTTCGCAGGGCGAAGAAGTACTTTGATGTGTTGATGGTACATACTGATCCGCCGGTGACTGGCTCGCGAACTGGCGTCAGCATCTATCGTTTCACGGCTAGGAGAAGATCACTAGAGGCTTCATAGTTTGCTAGTATCGGGTGCTAAGCTGTGTTGGGAGGTAATAAACGATTCGTCATGGACTGCAACTTGGTTTTGGACATATTTTTCCCGTAAATTTGGGGGGAAAATTTGTTGTTTCTGAAAATTCTGATAAACTTTTTTTTTTTCGAATGAATTTCAAAGAGCTTGAATTTATTTTGAGATGAGTTCAATATTACTTAAATCTTGTACTTATTTTTAAGCAAATCAAATCAATTTGAGATTTATTCTTATTAAAATATTGATCAAAATATCATAATATAAATTTATTATGATTATTTCATTTTGAATTTCACCCAAATACAAGCATATTCCAGAATTCAACAGAAAGGAAAAAATCAGAGCTCTTGGCAAGACAAATTGAGAAAATTCTGATCAACACCTATGTGGACAATAGAAACTGAAAAGATGAAAAAATTGAGGAAAGAAACCCTCAAGAACTCCCACAATGCCATTCGATCAGAAGATCAAAAAACTGCTTGAACAAAGAGTGTTTGTGAAGCTAAACAATTGCACATAAAAGCCAATGTCTTTGCCCACGAATGTCATCCAGAATAGAGACACAAACCTTATACTTTCATTATCATCACTCTAGCAAAACAAGCGAAGAGCTTCCCAACAAATGATTCCAAAGTAGCAAAATTAGAGATTCCTGAAGCAGCCCATTGCAAAATGTGACTTCAAATTATTCCCAATCTTGATCCCTCTTCCACCTCCTCAATTTGGTCAAAAGAGAGTACTTAATTATATTCAAGATAGTTGAAGTGCTACCAAATTACCACCCAAACATCTTGTTAGTCCTTAGACAATGCAATGGATGTAGGTTAAATAAAACTTTTGAAGCTTATAACCCACCATAATCAGACAGATTCAACCACCAACAATTTATCAGAAAGAAAGACCCAAACTCCTATCTGTCGTAAGTCTTCCTAACCAATGAACAAACTGTGGGACTCCAATTGCCTTTGTCCTTCCAATTATAGGAACTACATGATTTTCTCTCTCCCTCACCGCCTTTGAGTACCGCCTTTTAGTCGTGATTTAAGATCTAGGGCTAAGGCATTATCTCTCCTCTTATTCTCTTCCCCACAGCCTCCAGCGCTCACCCTTGTCTACTTTTCCTCAACTAAGAGCCGACCCTCTCATTTTTCTTCCTCATTCTACCACAAGTTTTCTGCATCTTTTTTACTTTCTTCTTATTCTTTCTTTGCTTCTTCTTAACTCACAGTATATAATTATATTCTTCTAAAGCATTTAATTTGAGGTGTTATTCTATTTTTTTAAATACCATTTAAGTTAGATCAGGTTATGAGTAGTTTTAACTAAATTCTTATTGTTATGGTATTATTTTCTTCACGATGTTAGAAAAAGGTATAATTTAAGGACCTAATGGTAAACTAAATTCTAACAATAACGATTTCTAATCTAAATAGATGGTAGGATAACTTGATAATCTGTTAATATTAATTACCCTACTATCACACCATTATTCGTGCTTCTTATGCCCTAATGCCTTGCCATTTATGCTTTAATAAATAGAAATCATTTAAAATAAATAAATAAATAGAAATCATTTGTTAACTCAAACTCATTCATTGTAAAATTTTCTTATATTAAATTTTAATCGAGTGTTTAATGGACCATCACCATAGGAGCATGCTTGTCAGCAGTAGGATTTCATTTGGTATTTTAAGTTTATGTAATAACTCTATTTATATTTCTTTTGAGTTTGGATAGTTTGCTTTTATAGTTATCGCTTTTAATTTCTTTTATTTTTGTTATATTTTGCTACTTCATTGATATGATATAGTTACATAGTCTATTCATGCAATGAAATATTAATTTATTTTCTAATGCTTACAGTTATATGTTCTGCATATAATCATTTTAATATAAAATTTTATTGTGTGTACAAAATAGGTTTGAATTGACCTTGACTTTTGATGTTTTCTTCAAGGGTTTAGACTCAATTACTTCATTGCATCTTATATTACCTGAGTATACTGCCTTTCAAATTCAGGCTGTGACATTCTCATTTATATCTTTACTATTTTACATTATAATTATGATGATAATTTATAAAATAATATGCTAGGTTCATGTTGCAGGAATAGTAGTCAAGTTCTGTCTTGCATATTCCTCTTCTAAGGAATATTTCAAATGTACCAGCAATGAAGAGATGCATCCTATTTCCCAAAATTACTCGTTGATAATCTTAAAGTAGAACCAGGAGAAATGATTTCAAAAGCAAAAAAAAACATAAAAAACCAAACATGTTTGTTATTAGTGAGTTATTCTTAGTAGATAGCTTAATAGATGGTTTAGATTTGTGAATATCAGCACTAAAATTTTAGCAAATCCTTCCATATGAACAAAACAAGGATCCTAATACTTGAATCTAGTGAGCTATAATTGTAACTCTTATGGTAAAATAATATTATCAACCCAATAAGGATTTCATGTTTTAGAACATTATTTAGGTTTCGTTTGGGACGGTGGCTTTCGTACTGTTTTCTAAAGTAGCTTTTTAGTACAAAAATTTCTTATTCAAAAAATTTTTATACTAAAAAGCTACTTTAAAAAATAGTAAGGAAGTCATCCCAAACGAAGCCTTAATCTCTATATATTTTACAGTACAAGAGCGATTTATTACTTTCATCTTGCTCGCATCTGCTTATTCATAATAACAAGAATTTAATTCTCATGAAGTTCAATCTTCAATAGCTGGCTTTATCTTTTAATTCCCATAATGTAGTTGCTTTAATATCATCTTTTGTCATCATTCTTGAAAACTCCTCATGATTATACTCTGTATCATTCCTCCCACCGAACTGTATTGGAAGTGTATCCATGTCAAAGTGTTGTTTGAAGACATCCATACTTTCTTCACTCTTGGGATAGACGAATTTGATCTTCTGGAAGGTCACTGGGTCTAGAAACAATTTGACGATCTAAAATATTAAAGTTTCTATTAGTCCAAGGTGATTTAAACGTATGCAGAATCACTATAATAATAACTGGCACAGTAAATAGAAATGAATGAAAAGCATATCATCCTCTAACACATGAGAAACTAGATAAGAGGATTTAAAACCAAGTATGATACATAGTCATATAGATCAATATTGAAATTAGTTTCATATTAACCATTTATGTGCTCTTTCAAATAATAAAATCAATAAGGGATTCATCTTATAATGCGTCTAGTTACAAGGTATTTCACTCAACTATAAGTTTTACTAAAAAATAGTGTAATTCATAATGAATTAGGTTATTTGGTGAGCTACATTATGTTGGAAGATATAATTCATTTTAGGGGTAAGATATCTTATTTCTGTTAGTATAAGGATATGGCTGCTTACATCAACCATTTATAAAATTCCTTATTAGTCGGAGTTTCCTATACTGAGTTCACCTTTGTTGTTGTTATAAGCATCTTACATCTACACTAAGGCTTCGTTTGGGACGGCTTTCTTTCTGCTTTCTTAAAGCAGCTTCTTTGTACAAAAATTAAAAATTTTGTACTAAGAAGCTGCTTTAAGAAGCAATAACAAAGCCTAAATGATTTATATATGGATAGAATCAAAGCATGATATTAAATAGTTAATATTAAGTTTTCTACTTAAGAAAAGGTGCAAACAATTGTCACTTATGAAGCTTATATGCCACTAATTTAGTTGTGGATTTAGTTTGGGGGTATAACAATTTCTCTTTAATTATCTAAATTGATTATGTTAACCTTTCTATATATGTAACATTAATGTGTTTTAGTTGTTCAAGAGGGAAAGGATCTTTCTTAAGCTATGATAATTTCATCGTCTAGCTATTAAGCTTGGAATGATATTGATTTGTTGTTCAAAGTAAATCATAGAATGATTGGTCTCTAAAATGCAATAGAGCCAAACCTTCCAAAAAGCTTCAAAGATTTTTGGTGGATTGTACAAGAATGCAGTGGCAAGCCTTTCCGGATAATGGTTTTGCAATATATTATTTGATTCTCGAGCTGTTCTGATAGGAACAGCATTGCTTAGAGACCAGCCAGTGAAATCAATTAACCAAACCATTTGTTCTTGGTCCTCAGGTAGGTTCAGAATGGCATTCTCTAACAGATAAACAAGATGTCGGAGTTGGTTGTCGTGGGACGTCGTGTTCTGCAAAGTTATTGTTCAAAATACAAGCCTTCATGATCAAATTAAAGAAGAAATGCAAATCACAGACCTGCCTAGCTGGTGTCATTATAAGAACAGTTCTACCATCTCGATCATGAAAATCTGCTCTGTAAGCTTTCCCACTTTCACCCTCAACAGCAACTTCATTCTATAATAAATGCTCTTTTGTTTAAAAAAAAAAAAAAAATACAATTCAAATGTTTTGAATAGTAAAAAAAGCATTAGATGCTTCTCAATACCCAGCGAATTTCCTCTGGTTTATATGCTGATCTCCACATAAGGGACCCTTGCAGCATTTTCTTTGATTTGGCAACATTCCAATTACGAGCTTTCAAGTATCTTTTCATGCATGCATCTGTGCAATATGCTAAACTTCGGCCTGATAACAATCCGATTGCGGCTTTAAGCTCATTTACCTATTAGGAAAAGTTAAAAAATACATCATGTTGCTAGTTTAATATTATTTATATTTTGTTTGGGATAGCTTTCTTATTGCTTTCTAAAACAGCTTTTTTATCACTTTCTCATTGAATTTAACTCACAAATTATTTATTGAGCTAAGCCTGGAACAAGTCTCGAGCTAGCTTCACTTGATCATAACCCTAGGCACATATTGGGTGCAACTTTATGAGGAGAGTTGATGGTTTTAATCTTCTTTGGGACTTCATATCACAAGGAAGACAATTGGAATGGGCATTTGCATCAAACCAAGACAACTCAAGACATAGAATAGCATGGTTCGATTATTGAAATCACACATCTTCATATTCAAATGGACTATGCAATGCATAGATCTTTGCTAAGGCTTCATTTGAGACAACTATAGATCATTGTTTTTTATTTTTTTTTAAAGAGATTTTTGTACTAAAAAGTAGCTTTATAAAGCAGCGAGAAATCCTTCCCAACGAAGCCTAAAACTAGTGATGAAGGCTTTATTTGGGACAACTTCTTTATTGCTTCTTAAAACAGCTTTCTATTTTAAAATTTAAAAATTTTATGTTAGAAAGCTGCTTTAATAAACAGTAAAAAGCCATCCCAAACGAAGTCGAAGCTTATTACTTCTAAGATGTGCAAATCAAATTTATGTGGAGAATTGTTCTCATGATAGCAAATAAAAAAAAAAAATCAAATACTAGATCATACCTTCTGTTCTTGGAATATGGCATCATGTTCCTCAATATTACAAGAATTATTCTTCCACTGGAACATGATTACTTTTCAGTATTATTCAAAAGTGAAATTCACCCTGCTGAAAGAAGCTGGCTTATTATCTCCAAAGAATAAACAACCATTAATAATGTACCTCATAATCTAAAAAAAGAAAAAATACAGGAATCTCACATATTGTAATCTAGCACAAATGCTACATAAATACACAAAAAAGGAAGCATTAAGGTTTCGTTTGGGGCGGCTTTCTTGCTGCTTCTTAAAACAACTTCTTAGTACTTGAAAGTTGTTTTAAAAGTAGTAAAAAAGCTATTCCAAACGAGGCCTAAGTTATCATCATACAACTTAAAAATTTGGTTTTTCAAGAGAAAAATGTCCAAAACTGAATTGTTGTCAGTTACACGTTAATATCATACAACAAACAATGCATCCTAACATTTATGATACTCTTTTGTATGAGCTAATTTCCATATGTTGTCACATGCAAGATAATTGTTTTGAGTGAGAGAGCAAATTATAAGTCCTAAATTTGGATAAATATATGCACACAATATAAAAATGCAAAGAAGTTAGGGTCATTTGATGTTTTTAATAAAGAAAACTCAGGAAAAATCACGAGGCCTTACTCAATTAGAAAAATTTCACTAATTCGGCCTTAACTTATAAAATTAATGTCATTCTTTGAAGTCTGCTCAGGCTCAGCTCATAAATGGCTCGTGAGCTCAATGAGCTAATGAGACAAACTTAAGCAAGTTTTGATTTGACTCATTAGCTCGTGGCCAACTTGTTTTATATATATATATATAAAGAATTTTACCTACAAAAATGTTAAAAATAGTAAAAATTTATACCTTATTTTTATTATTTTTCTTCTATTTTTTTTATCATTTTATTATAAAAAGTTCTTAAATCATAATATTTTTTTCTCTTTCATAGTAAAGGCCGACTTAAACTCATAGGATATTAATTATTCAAGCTAAGTTCAAGTTATAAAAAAAAATCTGGCATATGAAAAAAAGTCCATTATTCATTGCAGAAAATCTGGAACTTCCTCTCTTAGAAAGAAGGAATTGTATGACCAATTGGAAACAGGCGAAAAAAATTATTACCGTAAATCAATCTGCGCAAACATAGAAAACAATATTCAACTAGAGGCCTAAGGATGACGAGTCATTTTCAGTGGTGGAGATTCTTGGCAAAATGTTTCTCGTTCTTCAGTGGAATTCATCGCCCTAAATAAATCTAGAATTAAGGGTCCACAGAGATAGCGAAAGCTTTCGAGAAGTCTAAATTTTCTTCGACAAACTACACGTAATCGAACCAATTACAGAGCGAATAGACGTGCGACCCGATGCAAACGCTCACGGCGAGAAGAGGCGGGGGGTTCCGATTTCCGATGGTCCCCCTGTTCATCGGGGGTTCGTTCGCGGCGCTGGCCGGCGGCCGCCATGGACGCTGCATACAGGAAGAAAGAACGAGGGAGGAAAAAGGAGAATCCCTCTTGCTTTCATTCTCTTATGTTGTTACTTTGGACTGATTCAGATTCGGACTTCATAGTCTCGTAGAGATAAGCCGATTATTTTCACTGTAATATTACTAAAATAAGAGTCCAATTATTCCTAATATAATTTTTTGAAAAATTTTAGTCTCGTTTTCTAAATTGTAATACCAAAAATATTTTTCGTCTCGTTTTCTAAATTGTCTTCTGATTTATTTTAAAAAGCATATATCATGATTTTAAATAGTTCATAATTAAAAATATGAACTTCACAATTTAAAAAAAAAATATCAGAATATATTCATACAAAACTTATATGCAATCAAATTAAATTCAATAATTTCAAATTATACAGATTTAATTTTTTTTTCATAATATTTCAAAAAACTAACTGCTGTAATTTCTTCCATCACTAGATCCCAAAAAATTAAAAAACACATACAATATACCTTTCCAGCTTCTAAGTTCAAGCTTTGGTTTCTCCTCAAGGGCAAAAAAGCAGAAATAAGCTTCAGGAGTGAGAGAGAGAGAGAGAGAATGAACTATATTGAAAATTAAAATAGAGCATTAACAAACAAAAAAAAGAGAGAGAATTGAGAGAAAGAAAGACTTGCCTGACAGTCTGAGATGAAGAGCCAAAGAGTAGGAGCCCAGCCAAGAAAGAAGGAGAGTGGAGAAGGTAGAACAATTCAAGAAAAATGAGCCGGCCGGCAGGGAAATTGATGACCGTCCTTTTAGATCAGAGTTGCTTAGAATATCTATTTAAATAACTGCAAGCACCCCCACCATGCCACCGGCCTAAGCTTGGTCGGTGGACGAGTACGGTTAGGAACCTCCAATTCAAATTTGATTTTCCTCTCATGCGGCACGACCCCTTAAGTAGCGAGTAAATAACTGCGGGTACTGCACTTGTGGGGCCGGTTGCTGGTAGGCTGACCGAGGAATTAGTTACGCCGTCATACGTCTCTTAAGAGGTGGCGGCGGGTAGATACACCGTTCCTAAAAAAAGAACTGCAAGCTCTTAAGAATTATTATTAAATTCATGATAAATAAAATATTAGTTATACCTTTGGAAACAATACTGCAGCCAAGGAGGAAACGAATGTCCATTCACATTTTCTTATAATTATAATTTAAGGAATTAGATGTATTTATAAATCTAAACTACTTATTTTCTTATTAAAGTAATTAATTTAAATTTGATTTAATTATGTCCTAATCGGCTTTTATTTCTCTCTCTCACAGCTCAACGTATCGTACCCTCTTTACTGTACTTCTTTTATTGCCGGAATTTTTTTAAAATAAGCATAATTAAAGTTTGTATTGAACAATTAAGCTCATTATTAATAAAATTTTAAAGTAGTCAAAGTAGCCCGTTTATTGGGTGACTTTGACCTGAGTCACGTGATCAATGGCCGATGTGTGACATGATGAAAGGGCACATGTAAGTCGCCTTTGTGGATCTCCTAAAGTATGCTACTAGCGGGGGTCATAATGCAAAAGGTACGATCGTACTATCCCGTAGGACAAAATAGTCATAGGCCTTTATACTTCACACAAGCTGGCCGATAGGAAAGTATATGGAGTTATAGATACGATTATTCATGGAGAATGACATGTTCATACACATCTCGATGGATAATAATACGTATAACCCTATAATCATAATTTTCCTCCTATTTGATTGGTGTTGGGTTGTTGATGGTTGGCTGTCTTGTTGCTGGTTTGCTCGGTTGGTTGATGTATTGGTTTTTCTGGGCAGATGTCTTGGTTTGCTGGGTTGGTTGCTGTCTTGTTTATTTCTGGGCAGATGTCTTGGGTAGCTGGGTTTGCTGTGTTTGCTGTGTTGTTGCTTTGGTTGTTGGGTAGCTGGGTTTGATGTGTTGTTGCTGGGTGCTTCAAGAAGCCCAGGGATGTTGGTTGGCTGTGTTGTTGCTGGTTTGCTGGGTTGGTTGGTGCGACTGGCTGTTATTCAACTGCAATTTTGTGGATTCGTTTTTGAATCATTTGCTGCTTGGTTTGGTTTCCTGTTACTTGCGGTATCCGTTCTAATGCTGTGTCGGTTCCGAAAAGATTGAAAGTTGAGTAGCGATGATGAGTACCCTTCTAAACTTATTGTGAAGTCAATTGTGGGAAAAAAGTTATTGCAACCAGGTGGCATTTGCGTTATCCTCTAATCAAACAGATACTAAGTATAAAATACAAATTGCCGCCTTGGATGGCAATATTGCAATTCGCAAGTCCGCAACCGTAAAAAAATTATATTGTTGACTCACATTTCATTAAATGATGAATTATTTGGAGGGTTAATCTGAGCTAATAACTCAAGCTTTCAACTAATTCTTGGATTTAAAATTATATCTATTTAATTGTTTATATTTTTTACAGTTAGCGTATATCTCCATGAGGGCAGGCACAAGACGTCAAGACTCGTGGTCTTCAGAGTTCTGTGTTCTTCAAACTGTCAAAATTATATGTAAATTGTAATTAGAAAATTTCTGTTGTGTAAATTGTGTAAATTGTTAGTTAGCTAATTGATGGGTTTGATTCTTATTTGTTTAATTTATTTTTTAGTTTAATATTTTGTATAATTTGTATATTGTAATTAGCAAATTGCTTTTGATTCCTAGATAAAATTTTTATTTATGCAAATTTCTGTGTAGCTAGTTTGAAATTTCTATTTAAAATTTTTATTTATGCAAATGTCTCGGGTGAGCGGGTCATTCCGGGTTGACCCGAACCCGACTCGGGTTGGGTTCGGGTCCTGAATATTGACCCGTTTCCATAACCGGGTCAGGTTCGGGTCAACCTGTTTAGCTTCGGGTCATATCGGGTTCGACACCCCTATATGATATGATATTCATAATACATAAAATAAATAAACAAACATACGAAGGATACCCTCCAAGCAAATGTGTCCGCATCACACCAAAACACACTACGACCTAGCCTAAAACTAAAGTCAGTTGCCCTAACAAACAAGTTCCAGTGTGTGAAAAATATCATGTGTTCTTGATATGTCCTAGGAGATTTATTGTTTAAGTTATTCAAATTTAGAGTTAATTGTTGGTTGTAGGCCAAGTGAAGTGTTAATTTGAATTTAGATTTTGATATTTGGAAATGCTATTAATGTCTATGAATTTCTCTAATGATTTATTAATTATCTTAAGATATAAGTTTTATGAATTCAATACAAATATGCTCTCCACAAGAAATCAAGCATGACATATGAAGGCTTTGAAGTATTTTTCTTATTACTGATTTAATGAATATTTATTTAAAGTGAATAGTGACCACCTTTGTTAAACCAGGGCTATGAGATTTATTTCATTCTCATTGGGGCTAACTTAATAGCCTCGCAAGTTTGAATTATCCAGTAATTACCTTCGTTGACTATATTTGATTGTTTGTTAAATTTTAAATTTATTTAAATTCATTAGAGATTTATTCAAGGCTTTTTAATCCAATGCTATTGTGTCTTCCTAAAGAAGATGAACACAATACATAAAAGCCTTTAGCTTATTTAAAATTTATTAAAGACCCCCGAATCCAATGTATATGTATCTTTCAATTGGAGTTAAATACAATGTATAAGGGTCTTTTGTTATTTAAAATTTATTAGAGACCTATAAATCGAATGTTATGATGCTCTCCACACGAATCAAACATAAAGCATAAAAGTTCCTTTAATTAATTATTGAATATTAATTAATAAATTTATTTAGTTAAATCAAGTTTAATTATATTAATAATGAACTCTTATTTTATTTGAGATGATTAAAATAATGCTATTAATCATTTTAAGTTTAATGATTTAATTTTATTAATCATTTATTTTGCTTATTTAATAAATTTTTATTTATTAGAATGTTATGAATTGGATTAATTCAGGATTAATTATCTTATCTTATTTTTGTTAGCATACTTATTTTATTACCCCATTATGATTCTATGACAATTGAAAGGGATATTTTTTAAGTGTGGGTGATAAATCAATACTATGCATACCTAGATTTGTTACTAATGAATAAAATCCTACTTGCTAGCGGGACAATAAGTTAAAAAAATAAAATGCATGGTTTCTCAAGGACCTAAAGTTTGGGGAATCCTAATCAAATGCAAGGCTTAGAGGACCTAGGGGGCTCTAAGTTTTTGGATTTATCTCATCGAAGCTAGTCAACGGTGCAACCGACTGTAATACCTCCATTTGAAAGAAATGGTGGCGAGGTGATTGAAAGCTCCCTAAATTGTTGTCCATGCCAAGTAACTCCAACATACCTCACAAATAACACGAAGAGAAAAGCATGTGTCAGAATTTCATGCATTTTAATTTCTAAATTCATATACATATGAAATTCAAAATAACACTTGGTAATGATCATATATACAGACATGACAAAAAGAATTAGAAGACGACATGTTGATCATACATCATTCAAAAACTCATAAAAACACCAAGTGACGTTGTTCAATCATGATCGTAAATCTTTGTATCAAATGTCATTTAATGTCACTACACGAATGTACATGTGAAGCTTCCGAAAACATATCATCGAAGCACGAATATACATCCAAACTTTCTAATTTAGCCAATATTTGAGCATGGGTACACATACATACATCTAAATTAGTTTTCATAGACATCAAATAACATATGGGAGGGGTTGTTAACTATGACAACTTGTGTTCAAAAGAGGTCAACACATGAAATAGTTATGTATACAAGCAAGTAGTGAAGTAGATAATTTAATGTAAGTATATATCCTTGTTTGTGATGCCAAATATTGTTTTTTTCTTTAATCAATGAAATAAGCATACTCATAATTACTTGATGGCCTATTGTTCTCACATCTTTGAACATGCATAGTTATATATAAGTGCTCATGTGGATGATTCAATGAAATGTATTTAAAAGGATCAAGACATTCTAAATATACATTGGTTAGTCTTGCCAACCTACCATGGTATATTCAAGCTATAATATATATATATATATATATATATATATATATATATATATATATATGAGAAATAAATTTATAAGCATCGAAATATAAAGTTATGTAAAGTTTATAATAATATTCATAAAATGACCTTCTTTCACAATTAAAATTAGGCCATCTAGTTATAACATATTGCATATGAAAGCTACAAAACACATTTGAATATACATAACTAGAATTAATTTTCATCATGAGAAAATTAATTTCCGGCTATGCAACAACCTCTAAATTCCACCACGAATCTCTCAACCGTCTACTTAGATACATTCAAGGCACATCAGACACAGGTATTACCCTCAACCAAACTAATCTTTCTCTTCGAGGCTACGTTGATGCAGATTGGGCAAGTGACACTCAAGATAGAAAGTCCATTTCCGGCTACTGTAACTTTCTCGGCGACTCGCTCATCTCTTGGCAAGTCAAGAAACAAAACACCATCGCTCGTTCGTCAACGGAAGCCGAATATCGCGGTCTCGCCTCAGAGGCATCAGAAATACTATGGCTTCGCCGCCTCTTAGCCGACTTCCACATACCGCAAACATCGCCGACCCTGATCTACTGCGACAACACGTCCGCGATCGCTCTAGCAAACAATCCAATATTCCACGCCAGAATCAAACACATCGACGTCGACTGTCATTTCGTACGAGACTGCATCAGCAAAATGCAGCTCTCGTCGACTGTCATTTCGTACGAGACTGCATCAGCAAAAAGCAGCTCTCGGTCCATCATATATGCACCAACGATCAATTGGCAGATC